TCAATACTCGGAACCGATAAGAGTTTTCATTTCAAGTGAAAGTGTGTAAGAAATTTATTCAAGTTGAAAGAAAATCTTATTCATTTTTATTTATTTTAAAATTCTGCAACAGTATATGTTACCCATCATCTCATACTGAGGAGTCAAATTTGTTCAAAATGGCTGAAGCACATTTTCATACTCCTGCTTTCTAAGCTACATTTTGATCATCCTGATATCATGAGCGATTCCAGAGTTATGCCTTGATTTATCTTCCTAATTAGGATAACTCAGTAATATTTAGTCTGAATCCTAATATTATTATTATATGTTATTCTAATGAGACATTTTTGATGTGTTTGTAAAGAGGAAACCTTAAGATTTACCAGCCGGGAAGAGAAGAAATTTTTCAAGCTTGCAGGGAAATGACAAAAAATTTAATTCTGCTCAAAATCATRYTTTTGTAACTATTGCTCAAAACAGGGCTTCAAAAAATTCAAGATTATATTTCAAATGTCGTTTAAATGACATAGATATTCCTTACAGTTTGACAAAATGCAATAGCTGCAAACGTTTTAATCAATGCACTATAACTGCCTATTTATCCACAAACCACTTWGYGACTTAATCCTCAGTTGGATGTGATACATCTCATTTATAGACCTTGTGTATCCATTACCAATTAGATTCATAGTTTCTCAGTTAAGTTTTGTTTACTGAAAGTCTGTTACTACTTWGATGAATCATAAAACCATAGAAAATAACAATTCTCTGTGACACAAATGCATATGCAAGTTGCCTGCACCCTGGTTAGGCTGGAATATTCGGCATATCCACAAGAGTTAACGGCATTCAATCGATGGGTAATTAGCCTATTACAACCTTCCAGTTGTACTATGTCTTTTGGACAAATCCCCCTTACGTCAACGGACTCAAAGATCCCATAGCAAATAGSTTTTTGTCTGATGTGCTGAGAGACACTCTGTGATTACACCGAGTCGTGAGCCCTTTCATTTGACCAGCATATCATTTCCTTCCCTGGCACACTTCAAAGTGTGGACATTTCAAAGTAGAATGAGTGACTGCCACTTGGACTCTGAGGACGRCTCTTTTGATCATCTTTTTGAAAACTCCCCCTAACGTAATCAGGGCTAGCGCGCTAGAGAGAGGGGATTTGACAGCCATAAGATAAATGCAGTCACCCTCACAGCGATCAGATAAGCACTGCATGCTCTAATCCATTAATATGAAAATGAGGGAGGCCTAGAAGTAGCTGGGTGGGGGCTTTGCAGGAACAGTTAAAGGCTTCAGGGTGAGGTTTCTAAGCAAGGATCCAGGGTTTAAACATGAAATTAGGTCTCTGTGTCCAATAATGACGAYAGAACTATAAAGATATAATTTAGAGCACACTAAAAAGGTAGAGTATGAATATATTTCAGCTCTTATCCAACTAATCAACACAGTTTTTTTTTTCTGGAAAAATGTTTGATTTAATGCAGGGGTGTCAAACTCAGTTGGTCAATTTCTGAAAAATGTTATATAACAAATTATTCTTACATAAATACAAATTACATTTTCCAAATTGGGTTTTATGTAGCATTTAGAACATAATGGATAAAGTAAAAACAATTAAATTTAGAAAGACATCATTAGAATTCATTTCTTATGCCTTACTCTCTAGCAACAACTTTTTTTTCAGAGATCAGTTTTATCACAATTCAGCAAATCAGGCAAATAAAAAACTTGACTTTACAGAAAAATATAATTAAAGTTGATTATTTCTTGATCTTTCCACACTAAAATCAAAGATTATTGAAAAATTCAAACTTAACTTTCTTGGCTTAAAACTTAGCCAGCTGTCATGAGAAGAACGCACTAAATACATTAACAAAAACAGAAACCATAAAACTATTTAATACTTAAGGTTATTACTTCGGGGCTGGTTAAAATGTTAACAAAGGCCAGATTTGGCCAGCGGGCCTTGAGTTTGACACATGATTTAGTGGGTTAGGGAAGTAATAAACTGGCCTTGGCAACATTTTATCCTCTGTTACATCATGTAAACCAGGGGTGGGCAATCCTGGTCCTCGAGGGCCGCAGCCCTGCATGTTTTATTTTTTTCTCTGCTCAAATACACCTGATTTGAATGAATGGGTGATTATCAGGCTTCTGCAGTATGGAGGACCGAAACTGACATAATTAAAAATAAAAGCGGAAATATATAAAT